CGTTTCTTCTCTTGCTGGGGGAGGTGTTGCCATCATGGGGGGTGCTGTTTTCTGGCAGAGTCATTGCCGTGGTGAACAGGTGGGACTCGGGGCTGCTGGCTTGTTGGGGAGCAGAGACGGTCGGGCGCAAACAACAGCCCATGAGATGAGTGTCTGCAAAGCCAGCACGGTGGCTGGTGCTCGTCCGTTTGATCTGACCTACCTGCTGGAGGTGGTTGTGCACCAGCGCTCCCTGCCCCTCCCCAGTTCACCCGCAGAGCTAGTGACCAGATGTGGATCAGATGTGGCTTTCTTGGACCTACCTCGTCACTCTGAAAACTGTCATTGTTGGGGACCTGCTGCTCTGCACCCCTGTTGCAATTTAGCCCTGTATAGGCCGTTTCTCCCAGGAGCCCTAGTTCCTCGGTGGAGAAGAGCGTTCAGAAACTAAATTCTGGGTGCTGGGGGTGGCCCTCAGGGACAGCTAGGAAAGCCCGCTGTGTCCATACAGCTCCTAGAGGGAGCCGAGATGGATATCTGCGTTTACGTTTCCTGAAAACCATGTTTTCACATGTGGGCCCAGAGATGTAGCTAACAACCGCAGTGCTCACAGGAGCCCTTGTGCAGTGGACATTCTCAGCCCCATTTTACAGGTGACAGACAGGGGTACCCAGAAGTTGAGGACTCCCAAGATGAACTTCTGCGTCCAGAGCCTTTGTTCGCCCCTTCATTCCTTGTCTGGAATGTACCGGGCCCAGTGATAGGGGCTGGAAATAGCTTGATGGGGTAGCTCCGTGGTGTTGTTTTATGGGATGTTTGCACTCTCGAGTTTGGGGACCGATGTGTAGGTTATCCTCTCCCACCCAGCTGAGCTTTGTGACAAGGGGCCGAGGCTGGCTCTGCTTGATCTTTGTATCCAGTTCTTGTTTGAAGCTTCTTACTAAAATGCTGTGAAACTCGAAACAGATTGCACGCACTGTGACATTGGAGCTCTCCAGTGAAGTCATATCAAATTCTTTTTGCTCAATTTTTTTTCTTTTTAATCATCAGCTGAAAACGAGAGCACGCCCATTCAGCAGCTACTTGAGCATTTCCTCCGCCAGCTCCAGAGGTAAAGAGTGTTTCTGAAGAGCTTGTGCTTGGGGACATTGGGGTGTCTTTCTCTCTGAGGTGCTTTTGCCCTACCCCCATCGCCTGGGAAGGAGACACGTCACCTTCGTTGGTGACACTGGTCCGACAGGGTGGGCAAGCACCATGCAGGAGCAGAGTGGGGACTCCCGTCCGCTGAGTCAGCCTGGGGGCATCGGTGATGCTGTGATGTAAACGTCGCAGCCAGAGCCACGATGCTAGTTTGGGAACTTTTAGTGTGTCCAAAATACCTACCATATTTTAAGAGCATACATTTTATTCTTTTTTTAACAACCAAACTTTGGTCAACTATCAAATTTTGTATTGTGAAGAATTTTGTATCACTTAAAATTTAGATTTTAGGGGCTTCCCAGTTTAAATACAGATGTTTTTGTTTTTAGAAAAGATCCTCATGGATTTTTTGCTTTTCCTGTCACGGATGCAATTGCTCCTGGATACTCAATGATAATAAAACATCCAATGGATTTTGGCACGATGAAAGACAAAATCGTAGCTAATGAATATAAGTCAGTCACGGAATTTAAGGTAAGTGAATTTCAGTTCCTGAAATAATTGTTAGGAGGAGGCTCTGCGTTAGTTCATGTCCAGTAAATGCTTCATTCATCTCAGGCCGTTTTCAGTTGCACATTTTCACGGTGTTTCTGTGTTTGAGTTGGTGTTTCACAAGCAGCATGAAGGACATGGGTTGGTTGTTATTTTCTCTGTATTTAGTCTAGAAGCTGGCCTGCGTGTCAGGCTGTTAGAAATGCGTTGCTTTTTTTTTTTTTAAGTTTCTAAGTTACTATGCTGGCATAAATAGGACATGATGGGTCACACAGGCGTGTGTCCTACTTGGCCTGGTTCCGGAATGGGTATTTTTAGCAATATAATTGTCCTCATTCTTAGTTTTGTTGTGTAATAGCTGGGAGCTTAGGGTATTTTTGTTTTGTTTTGTTTTAGCTGAGCCATCCTGCCACCTGTTGGCAGCTCAGCGGCAGCTCAGCTCGGGCTGGGCATCAAACCGCTGTTGCTCAGAGCTCAAACTCTTGAGCGAGCTCTTAACCAACTGAGCCGCTCGGCCGGCCCAAGGAGTTTAGATTTCTGGAATAATAAATTCTTGCGTCCCTTGAGTTCTTCGCTGGCAACTTTTTTTTTAGTACCTACCGGCTGTGAGAGGCAGAAATGCTGGTGGGCTTGAAACCCGGGGGATGGGAAGGAACGCTTGACAATGTGGCAGCAGTGTCGTGCAGGAGAAGGATTGGGTTTCTTTCTTAGGTCTGTTATTTCTAGGAAAGCTTGGCTTTTCTGCACTTACTGAAGACGTTACTGAGAGGGTTTGCTGACCTGCTGACACACGGTCCTGGCTAAAAGGAGAGTAGGAGAAAAGATTTCCACAGGAGGATCGGGGGGGGGTGTGTGCCCCAGAGGGCAGGCGGTAACAGTAACCACACCTGAAATCCTCTGCCTTTTTGACTGCAGCCTCTGACCTGGCCTCTCGCTGGTGACAGCCAAGGTGTGAGCAGCGTGCACCCCGTCTTGTCCTCAAGAGAGTGTTCTGAACCCGACACAGTTGGGACCTGTGATGGACGGGGCCTTCATGGCCTTAGTCTCAGCCCTGGGGACACTGGCACCGTGACCTGTCAGGTCCCCAGATGGCACATGCTACATCGGCATGTGGCTTTAGAGGTCATTGTCCATACTGACGTCTAATTCACCTGTGATGGGTGTGTGCTAAATAAGTTGGTTAGGATGTTAAAATACAGGTGTTTCACATAATCTTAATATAGACTGCTATTGAATAAGACTGTCTTTACTTTAGGGGGAAGCGTTTTTCTTCTAGCACTAGAGTAACTGTAGACAAAATTTTAAGTCGCATGGAAAAATCCAGAGACAGAGGACATGACTGCCTGCCTCTCAGTTCATCCCTGGACTTTTCCTTAACCTGTTGTCAGCCTTTGGTCCTAGTTATGTCCCAGCTCCTCCAGACAGGAGCAAGGGCTGGAGACGGGAGGAAGCCCAGGGAGCCACCCTCTTCCTCTCACGAAGTGGACGTGTTAACACTCACCGAGAAGTTACAGACTTGGTTCCATGCAACTTAAGACCGATGAACAATTAGGAAAATTTCTCTGAGTTTTAAAGTTATCTTTTTAATCAAAGAGCCAAATTTCATTGTTTTTCACTCAATTTCAGGCTCTTCCTTTTGGCCTCTCTGCTGTTTACGTGATGGGTCAAAGCTGATGGGTTGTTTTCATTTTTTCAGGCAGATTTCAAACTGATGTGTGATAACGCAATGACGTACAACAGACCAGACACCGTGTACTACAAGTTAGCTAAGAAGATCCTTCATGCAGGCTTTAAGATGATGAGCAAAGTAAGAGACCCACTGAGAGCGAGCAGCCACAGAAACGAGGCTTGTCCTGCTCTGCGTGGTTTATGCCTAAACAGAAACTCCCTCCCCGTGAATAACATGCTTCCATCCAACCGCCACTGGCCACGGTGGGGCCCCCTTTGCTCTAGGGTAGACGCCCAGGCACCCTCTCCCTGCTCTGCTCCTGCCCCAGCTCTGCCGTCGTCTTTAGGGCTGGTGCAAAGTCCCGGATCTGGGCCTCAAGCCGGGTGTGTGTCTCACTGGATTGCAGCCAGCCTTTTGGGTTTGTTTTGCGTGGCTGCCTCACTGAGCCCAGCTGGGCCCTTCTGCCACCCTGAGTGGCTTCCCAGGTCTGTCCCATGAGCTAGGCTGCACGTGCCCCCTGTCTAGGACCCGTGCCTTGTGCCCGCTGAGCCCGTAGGTGAGGTGCAGCCCAGCCCTCTGCCAGCTCCGAGCGCTCGCCAGCCAGTTGGCCGCACCCTTCTGTGCTGACCCTGCGGCCACGTCCCGCTGCACCGCGTGGGAGGTTAGTGGTTAGGCCAGGTGAGGCTGTGGCCACCCCATCCATCCCATCGTCATGGCGCCTTGACGTGAGGGAGAGGTAAAGTCCTTGCCGCTCTGTGCTTTCTGATTCTAGGAGCGGCTGTTAGCTCTGAAGCGCAGCATGTCGTTCATGCAGAACATGGATTTCTCTCAGCAGGCAGCTCTTTTGGGCAGTGAAGACACAGCCGTGGAGGAGCCCGCTCCCGAAGTGGCACCTGTACACGTAGAAACTGCCAAGAAATCCAAAAGGCCGAGTAGAGAAGTCATCAGGTAAAGGGAAGGGCGCCGGCCTATGGGCTCGCACCCCCCCTGCCGCCATGGGGACAGCGCCAGGCTCACGGTGTCACTTAGGGACTGATGGGCTGCTCGTGCCACCTGGCGGGAGGGGCACAGCTCCCAGCAGCTTAGGTCCCGGTGCAGAGGGAAGCGACTGTTCTTCCTGCCCACCTTGAGAGGGGGGGGACCATCACCGTGACCGCTGGGAGGTGTCGGAAGGCCTGCAGGGAGTGGTTTGTGTGAGAGCCACGCTGTCCACGTGCAGACACACCATCCTCCAGCTGGCACAGTGACTGGTCCTGGAGGAGAGTCACTGTCACTCTGATAGACTCGAGGCAGCAGGGCCGAGACAGCCGCGCCGCGTGTGCGCATGCTCTGTCCCCAGCGTGGCACGGCTGCCTGCTGATTCTGTCACCCCTGTTCTCAAACGTGTTGTTGGGTGTACTTGTTGGCCCTTCAGTCGCAAGAAGCCTCCTCACGTGCAGGACACGTGCTGGCGCCCTGGGCTTATGTGTCCCAGCTGAGGACACAGCTGTGCAGTGTTGGCGGCACCCTGCGTGGCAGCGTGCGTTTCTCACCGTGCTCCCTGAGTTCTCAGTGCTGCACCAGACGGCGGGCCTGCCCATAGGCTCGGACCCCAGGCCGGGCTTGCTCCCGGAGCCGCTTGGAGGGGGTCCCACCCACCTGCTTCCAGAACCTTCCACAGCAGAGGCTGCCTCTTTTGGGCGCTGCCCATAGCCCCCCTAGCTGTTTGAGTCAAGAACTCCTTCGCGCGGAAGATGAGGCTGGCCTGCTGAGGTCTTGGCGCACCCTTGGGCCTCACGTCGGGGCTGCTCTCCAGCCTGGCTCACCACCAGCACCTCAGCCTCCATGGGGTTTTTCTCACTTTTTTCTAATGGTGCCTTGAATGATGCTTTAACCAGCAAGGCTCCTGTCGTGTGATGTTTCTTCTGTTTTCCCTAAAGCCACTGAAACGTGTAGCTGAGATGTGAGCACTGTGGGAAGTATGCTTGGCTTTCTCTTCTTCCTGAAAGCATCTTGTTTTACTGTGGTCAGACGTGCGCTTTGGGCCACTGCTGGCTGTCTCCACTCCTGCTGGCCGTCTGCTGGCCGTCTGCTGGCCTTGGGGCTACCATTAGGCACTGAGCACGTTGGAGGCGGGTGTGGTGTGCGCTGTGTCCCCCAGTGACTCGTGTGGTCTTTGCCTTGTAGCTGCATGTTTGAGCCAGAAGGAAATGCTTGCAGCCTGACCGACAGCACGGCGGAGGAGCACGTGCTGGCCTTGGTGGAGCACGCGGCTGACGAGGCTCGGGACAGGATCAGCCGGGTCCTCCCAGGTGGCAAGGTAGCGCTGCCCGAGGGGCTGGTGTGTCGTCTGGCAGGACAGCAGCCAGCATCAGAAACGAGTTATTGACTGTCAGGGTGTCCGCAAGTCTAGCCAGAGCGCTGTTGCTGTCCTGGGGGTGCCTTTGTCACTGCAGGGTCCAGATCAGGAGCGCATGCTACAGTCGCGTTCAGCTCCTCGTCCTCGCTGGCCTGTCTCGGGGGGAGTGAGGGGTCCTCCAGGGGCCAACGCCCAGATCGGGGGCTGAGCCCGACAGGTGAGCCCGGCAGGCTTTTCTGCTGCAGGTCGGCCTCCCTGTGTGCTCACCGCTCCATGCGCCCCTGCAGTCAGTCACTAATGGGGCCGGCCCAGGTGTGGCTGGGAGAGCCCGTCGGGCGGGACGCTGGACCTCAGGAGGAGGCCCCGCCATACTTGGAGCATCTTCTCCTCTCTGCCACAAGACCTAGGCCAGCACTTCTGGTATAGAAGCTTAACGCCTCCTGGCAGTCGTGTTGACAAGGACACAGGTGGAATTCTTGTGTATCCAAAATCTTATTTCAATATGTAGTCTGTATGAAAGTTTATTAGAACTTTACAGTCTCTTTTTTACACTAAGTTTGCAAAACACGCAGTGGAGTGTAAAGATTTGAAATACCTTTTCGGATACATCGGGTTATGTGAAATCTATCAAGATTAATTTTACCTGTTCTCTTTCACCGATTTTGAGTGTGCCTCCTGGAAGGTCTGAGGCTCCCTGTCTGGCTCATGTTGCAATCCTTGGGGACCTGCGGGTCCACCCCTATTTGATCCAGTCCTGTATCGGCCGTTTCTCCCAGGAGCCCTAGTTCCTCGGTGGAGAAGAGCATTCAGAAACTAAATTCTGGGCGCTGGGGGTGGCTCTCAGAGACAGAGCTAGGAAAGCCCCTACAGGGAGCCGAGATGGATGTCTGTGTTTACGTTCTCCGAAAACCATGTTTTCACACTGAAGCCCAATACCACCCAACATCGGTTTTGTAATTCCACAGAGAGAAACCTGGCTTCCGTTACCCTCAGCACACTTACTTGATCGAGCATAGCCAGTCTCCCATCTGTCCCCCCGTGCCCTACTCACCCTGCTTGGGCCCTGGTGCCCCACTCGGACATCTGGGCCCCACCTCGAGTTCCAGCACCCAGGCCGGTGGGCACCCTCCCCCGTCCTCCCCACGCCCCCCACGCACACTGACAGGTGGACACCCCGCTCCTTGACGCTCAGGGCCTGTAGAGGAGGAGTCGTTCTTACTGGTGGTTGGTGTCTACGTGGAAACAGCTGCCATGTGCCTTAGAGATGGGTCCTCGGCTGGCTGTCAGTGACATAATGCTCATCAACCAGTGTCTTGTAACTGGTCTTGTTGACGCTTCTCAGTGACTGTAAAGGTGGTTCCTGTGTCAAGTTTTCTGTTCCCAAAGCTCTGTTTTAGAAGGGCTCCTAGGAGCCTCTCTCAGAAGTCCTGTCACCGCACTCGTGTGCACGCTGTCCACTGTGGGTGGGCCGTAAGCTCCGGGGAGGGCATGACAAGGGCATCTGGCCTCGTTCATGGAGAGCGCATGACCTTGGCGGCCCTTGGGACTTGGCCCGGCTGGGCCCTGCGCCTCGGCCTTCACTGGCGCTTCAGTAGAAGCCGCCCGTGGGCACTGTGGGCCGTCGTTGGACGTGGGCTCAGGCGCGCTTCCTTGCAGATGGGCTACCTGAAGAAGAACGCAGATGGGGGCCTGCTCTACAGCGTGGTGAACACGGCCGAGCCGGACGCCGACGGTGGGTGCCTTCTGGGCTCACGGCTCTTCTCAGCCTGCTGCTCTTCTAACCTCTGCTCCTAGTCGATGGGTTTAAAACCTGTGACCTGTTTGTGGTCACGGTTTTCCCTGGTGTGTGTGACACCAGTGGGAACGTGGGGATGAGATGAGAAGCCTTGGCTGGCTTCCCGCCCCTGCACGGCCTCCTGTCCACAGCACTGTGGTAAATAGGCTGAGGGTGGTCGTCCAGGGTGGGCAGAGAGGTGCTGCTCAGAACTCTGACCCTGGTCCCTAGGACAGCCAGCAGGATGGGAATTGCGCTCCCACAAAGCTCCAGGCTTAGGGCTGGACACCCTGGTACTGTTGTGAGGGGTTCACCTCACACGTCGGAAACCGGTGTCCAGCCCTGCCCCCCTCGAAGCCTGAAAGCTAACTGTCAGCTCCATGCGAGTCTTATGAGAAAGCCCCCTTTGATAATTACGTCAGTGAAGATCTTGAAGGAGACATGAACACTGGGACCATCCAGCCTGTATGGTCTTTAAGAAGTAGTTTTACACTTTTCCGTCACCTTGGAAAAGATTTCAAAGGCTTACCCTTGGAAGAAAAGCAGAACCCACTGGATCTGAATATGCACATGTGCACACAGGCGGAAGATAAAACACTGCCCCTGGATGTCGCGCAGGTAGACGTGAGCGACCCCTACAGGCCTGGCCTGCCCTTGACATTCAGGTGTATTTGGCGTTCTCTGATGTATACGGAGTATAAACTCTGGCCAATTTCTTAATGTCCTTGGGAAGAGAACAGACGAGCTGATCACCTGCCCCCTAGCTTAGAAGGAGAACGGCCAGATTGAGGTTCTGATTGGCGACTTGAACCCTGCTCAGGTCACATGTCCGGTGTGTGGTTGATAAGTTTGCGCAGGAAACGTGCCTTTGCAGGGCACGCAGGGCGGGGCTTCCCCTGCTGCTGCTCCAGCCGTGCAACGTTCTGAGATGCCGAGCAGTCAGCTGAAATGTTACGTTGCTGGTGCCATGGTCAGGGAGCTGACGCTTCTCATGCTCTTGACTTGGGGGTGATCACAGAGAAGTTGGAGGGAGTGCAGCTGAGGTGGAGAATGCTGGCTGGCTTTTGTAGATTCAGTTTTAGATGGTGTTTGCGAAGGGCCCCGGCCTCGCTCCCACGTGGAATGGTGGGGAAAGCTGGCGGTGCTGTCGGGCGGGGGCTCCGCGAACCGTCCACTCACAGCCTGCTCTCCTTGCAGAGGAGGAGACACACCCCGTGGACCTGAGCTCCCTCTGCAGCAAGCTGCTGCCTGGCTTCACCACGTTGGGCTTCAAAGATGAGAGAAGGAACAAAGGTGAGAGCAGCGGGCATGGGGGCGCGCGGCCCCAGTGGCTCCTCCGCGGCTGTCCTGACTCACCTGTTGTCAGACCTGTATCCAGATTCCGATTTGGAAAGTGGTGGTGATGAAAATTCGCAGGGCAGGCGCCCCCTTGGCCATCTGCTCTTTGTTGGTGGGTGGGTCTCAGCCCCATGCTTCGTGGAATTCTCTGGATGGGCTGCCACCAGGCACATTGGTGGCTGCTGGGACCTTTGGGGCCAGGTGGTTGTCTAGTGGTGAGAATTGCATTTTCTCCAGCAAACTCACGTTTCACGTGTTTGGAGGGGTGCAGTGTGCCTGCCGCAGAGCCTGGTCTGTGGGTGGAGGTCTTCACAGTGAGGGCGACTGGCCCGGGGAGGGGGCGTTCACTGTATTTCTACGTGTGGTCGGCTTTCTGGCTCTGGGAATGTGTCAGTGTGTGCAGCTGTTTGTTCCCAGGGGACACTTTGTCACACTGGGGTACTCCTTGCCCTTCCGTACCCTGAGTGCTGCCCTCCAGGCCCCTGACAGTATTCAAACAAAGGTGCCAGCACGCGTCTCCTTAAGGGCAGCCACTATCTGACTCTCTTTACGTCCCCTCAGCAAGAGCTGAGCTCTAGGCAATTCCCAGATGTCGGGGGCGGGAGGGGGGGGGACGACGACAACATGAGCTGGCACCCAGCAGCCCTCCTAGTGTCGCTCACTCCCTCACAGGACACTGAGCCATTCTCTGCAGCCTTGGCCATGGAGGTAAATCGGGGTGACGAAGCCATTCTGCTTGTTATGCCCCAAAAGCTTCCTCCAGTTCAGCTGGACTCAGGAGCAAGGCTGTCGTAGAGAAGACGGTGTGGCTGGGGTGTGTGTGTGGGGGTACATGTGCAAGAGTGTGTGTGGCTGAGCAATCCACAAGGAAGACGCCGGAGTGTGTGCATCTTGCACCCGGTCGGTTTGAGTGTAAACCTGAGGTTCCCTGTGCTTCCCTCTCTTGCCTCTTAGTCACGTTTCTCTCAAGTGCCAGCACTGCGCTCTCGATGCAGAACAACTCGGTGTTTGGGGACTTGGGCTCAGATGAAGCGGAGCTCCTGTATTCTGCCTACGGGGACGAGACGGGCGTGCAGTGTGCGCTGAGGTGAGCCGGGCGCAGCCCCACGGCCAGGCTGCTTGCTTGCTCTGCCCGGAGCCCTTTTCCTTCTGGGCACCTCGGGGCCTGTTCGTGGGCGAGTGGGGAGACAGCCACGGGCAGCAGGTTCATACTGCAGCAGAAAGTTCCCATGGTTGTCAGTCAAGTGCTGTGGTCTGTTGGGGGCCAGGTGACTCAGTCACAGTTTTAAGGAGGTGATGACCCAGGGTGTGGTTGAGAAAAGCTTGTGCATGTCTAGTGAGTGTGTCTCGCCGTCGTGTTAGGTATGGTTCTCGGCAGCTGCATTAGTCAGCCCGGGCTGCGTAACACGCACGGCGCACACAGCCCTGAGCAACAGACGTCTGCTGTCTCCAGTCCTGGAGGCTGGAAGTCCAGGCTGCGGTGCTGCTTTCTCCTGAGGCCTCTGTTGTCCCGTTGTCATCACTCTTGTGTGTCTGTGTCCTAGTCTCTTGCTACCAAGAAACCAATCACGAAGTTAGGGCCCCCCCGAAGGTGTCACTGTCACTTAATCACCCTTTAAAGTAAAGGCCTCATCTCCAAATGCAGTCACATTTGGAGGTACTGGGGGGTTAGAGCTTCAACGTGGGAATTTTGGGGACAGTTCCACCCTTCACAGACTAAGATGTAACATTAAAACTATAGACGTGGTACTGTGTTTCTGTACAAATGTTTTTGTGTGTATCTTTTTATTTTCTGTAGCAAAGTAGAAACTGGTCACCTTTGTATTAATAGAATTCTAGTAATTTTCCATGAGGAAAGTAACTTAATTTTGCTAGCCTCTAAGCAGTGGAATCTTTCTACATTAGGTCTTTGTTTTATTTCAAAAAAGGAACAACGTATTTGAAAAATAAACAAGAAATTAGCCCCTAATACAGTAAATGAACACCTAACCCAAATTTTCATGAAAAAAAAGAAGTGAAAGTAGGAAACTGAGGAGGAAATTTCTTGCAGGAGAGGATGATGTCACGAGCTGGTGACTGTCCCCTTCGCTCCTTGCCACCCACCCCCTGGCGGCGTGCTCACAGCTCTTGGACAGCAGCCACCTTTTGTTCAGGTGGCACCGCGTGGCTGGACCACACTTGCCTTCCCCGAGTGCCTGTCCCTGAAACACGTGGACCCTGTGTGGCACACAGGGAAAGTCACGGCATGCGAGCCGCAGGCAGGCGGGGCTCCTGGACCCCCCACACCACCTTTTTTGGGCACTCTGTCCGGGGCACGTCCGGGCCACACTGAGGGTGCTCTCCAGGCCTGCGCCCGTCTCACAGTCACTTGGTCGTTTGTCATAATCGCTCCTGGTAGAGACACCCCAGGCTGGCAGCCTCCTCGCTGTGTGGGAAGGTCCTTGAAGCAGGCCTTCTGAGCCTTCTCCCGGCTTTGAAGCTAGGACTGGGTTTTTGTTCCCTGCCACCTTTTTACGTTTTTTGGAGTGTGGTTTTGGTTGTTGAGGCATTCACATGGCTGCAGAATCAAAGTGACACTGAAAGATGTCTTTGGAGAGCCTTGCTGCCACCCCTGCCCCTCCCTCCCCAGCAGGTGGCCGTTTACACTGTGCATCTCTCTTCAGTCTACTTGCATTTTTGCACCAAAAACAAATAGACACGAATGCACTTCTTGAACAGAAATTAGCGTAAGTTACCTTATGTATGTGCACCCATGGCTCTTCGCCTCGCTTTTTAAAAATTAATTTGTTCTTGAGACCTTTGTGGTGTTTTGGGGTCATGGACACTGAAGATCTGACGAGTCTGTTGGTCCACTCCCACCCGCACCCCATGCGGGAGACTCATAGCTCGTGAGACCTCGGGGGGTGTTGCGGGATGGGGGGCCAGTGCCGCCGGCTCCTGTGCTCGGCTCCGCCAGCCTGGGTGGCAGCAGACTCTGGGAGACTAGAGCGTCGTGTTTGTCCAGCGTGCTCTCCCACGGCCCCTTCCAGCCTGCAGGAGTTCGTGAAGGATGCTGGCAGCTACAGCAAGAGAATGGTGGATGACCTCCTGGACCAGATCACAGGTGGAGACCACTCGCGGATGCTCTTCCAGCTGAGGCAGGTGGGCTGCGCGTGGCGTTACTCCTGTAGAAAGAGCCCATCCACACGGCTGGGTTCTGGGGAGAAAGCTGTGTTGAGGGCATCGCTGTCACTTCCTCCCGCATGGGTTTTCCATGTTTTATTTTTACTTTCAACCGGCAGTTGTCTTTAAAAGGAACGTTAAAAAGTTCCCTATTTACCTCATGTTCACTGTTTCTGGCACTCTTCATAACTTTGTGTATATATTCCCAAATCTCTTTCATCTTTCAGCTGTCATTTTCCTGTGTCCTGAAGAATTTTCTTTTTTTCTTTTTTTTTATTTTTTTATTGGGGAATTGGGGGGATGGGAACAGTGCTGGGGAATTGGGGAAAGGGGAACAGACAAGTTGCTGTCCTTTTTGGTCTTCAGTCTAGTTGTGGAGGATGTTGCCTCACTGGCCCAAGTTGGCACCATCATTGCACTCTTCTCTGGCGAGGCAGATCAGTCGCCGGCTTCTGGACGGCCGCTCACTGCGGCTGCTGGCCGCTCACGCTGGCTGCTGGCCGCTCACGCTGGCTGCTGGCTACACACGGTAGCCCATGGCAACCCACTGCCACAGGGACTGCAGCCCACGCCGTCGCCGTTGCCTGCGACTCATGGCAGCCCAGCTCCAGGTTGAGCTGTTGTTCAGCATCCTAGCTGTAGAGGGCAGTGTCACTGGCCCTCATATGTGGGATCCGAACCGGGGCCCTCTGGCATCCCAAGCCAGTTCTTAACCATCGCGCCACTCGGCCGGCCCGTGAAGAATTTTCTTTACTATCTCTCCTAGTATAGATTTGCTGGCAGTGAATTTGCCCAGCGTCTCTCTGTCTGAGAAAAGTTTTTAACTTTATTTTTGAAATTCATTTTCCTTGCGTCTGGAATTAATAGATTGGCTTTTCTTCCTCTCTACTTTAAAAGATGTTTGACTTGCACTGTTTCTGAAGTGTCTGCAGTCACTTTTATCTTCGTGTTCGATTGTAATATGTCTTTTTTGGTCACGGTCATGGACTAACAAACTAGCCCATGAGCTAAGAATGTATTTCACATTTTTTAAAGGTGGTGAAAAAACAAAAACTAGGCTGTGGACCATTTGTGGCCCTCAAAGCCTCAAATCTGTGTGCTCTGGCCCTTGGGAGAAAAAGTTTGTGGACTTTTGCTCTTGATGCCTTTAAATTTTAATCTTTATAACTGACTTCCAGCAATTTATTTTCCATGTGTCTTAGGGCACTTTTCTTTGTGTTTGTTCTGCTTCCAAGAAGCTTTATTGAGCTTCTTGGCCCTATTGGTTTATAGTTTTTAAGAAATTTGGAAGATTTTCAGCCATTACTTATTCACATTACCCTTCTGTCAGCTTTTCTGGGACTTTGACACATTTGTTAGATGTCTTGATAGAGCCCACATGTAACTGAAGCGCTTTTTTAAAAAAAATTGTCGTTCCCCCCCCACACACACACATACACCTCTTTGTTTGGATAGTTTGTGTTGCCCTGGTTTCAACTTTAGTATTTATTTTTACACCTTGTCTGAATCTACTGTTAGTCCTAACCAGTGACTTTTTCATTGAAGATACAGTGTTTCTATCTCTAGAATTCTGGTGGGTTTGTTTTTTTTTTTTGCATCATTCATTCTCTCACATTATGTTCATGTTTTCCTTTAAATCTTTGGACATGTTCGTCATGTTTCAAGTCCTTGTCCACGACTTCTGGCGTTTCTGTTGTTTTGGATCTGTATGTATTGGCAGATTTTTCTCTGGGTTATCGGCCATGACTTGCTGTTTCGTTTGTATGGTTGGATGAGACTTGTAAAAAAAAAGAAATGTAAGACTATCTCAGTAATTTTTTTATTTGGTTTTCATGTTGTAATAAAAGTATTTTAAATGGGTTCAGTAAAATAGTTAAGAGCAGTTGCACATCAAGGTTAATTTTAACGTGGCTACTAGAAAATTGGCAGGTATGCGCTTACGTTACATCCCCGTTGGACAAGGCTGACCTGGGTGTTACCTTCTTCCGTTAAAGTCTGTCGGTGCACATTTTGGCAGAGTTGTTACTTGTGAGTCACCTGATCTTCCTGGGCTTGTTTTTAAGCTTTGTTACGGTCGTTCTAAGCAACCTTTATTCTAGGGTCAGCTTGGCTCAAGTCCTAAGAAGTAGCCCTTTGAGGGCCTCTTCTGTTGGCCCCAGTTTCAGCGTGGGGTCTGCTCTGTCTGTGTGGAGTTGGGACGGGTCTGCCCTGCATGCTAGCTCGGTGGCATTTCATGTGTCCGAGCACAGCTCAGTGTCAGCACGGCTCCTGCCCCGAGCAGCGTGTGCTCCCCTCCACACGGCCCTGCCGGCCTGTCAGGTCCTTGCGTCGGCGCGGCATCCAGGCCCTCAGTGACGCTCTTTGCACCACGGGCTGCGAGTCTCCTCGCGGCATTGCCCCCGGGCACAGATCGGAAGCACCATCCACGTGCTCTGTGCTGCTGCTTCCAGCCGGAGGCCTGTCACGTGCTGGCACCTGGGTTTCCTCTCTAGGTTCCAGCGTGATAACCTTCTGACAGTGAACTTGTGTCGCATTACATAGTTTTAGAGATGTGCCACAGCACTGAACGACACTCAGGAATATACGTTAAAGGAAGCTGATGGGAGGAAACGTTAAAATATGGCAACACGTATTTTTCTGTTTAAAAGTTTGTGACAGTCATAACACAAATGAATCTCAGAAACATTATTTGAATAATAGGTCACAAATACAAACACGTGCAGACGGAATGGCTGTTTTTGGGTATGTGTGTAGAAGTAGGTATTTTTAAGGTGATGCTTTTGCCATATCACAAGACAGTGGCTCAGGGCAGCATTCGGGCTGTGGTCACACAGTCGTGGTCAATCCCGAGCCCTCTTCCGGGTCCTGTGCTAGCCGACGTCTAGGGCACATGGCCCCATAGCTCTGCCCATCCGAGGGCAGTGGTAGCATCGGGCACCCTGCCCGTCAGGGCTCCATCTGGTCTCAGGTGGATTGGGTCTCCCGCATTGAGCCACCAGGCCCAGTGTTTTCCTGAGCCACCTTGAGACTCAGGTACAACGTCTGATGTTTTCCTTTTGTTTTCCGCCATCTGACGCCGCAGAAACAAGGGTAGGTGTCTTCTCACCCTTCGCCTGCCTCTTGCCTAGTGCGCTCGTGGGCACTCAGCCCCCTGGGCATCGTGGCTGGTGCTGCATGAACTGGGCATCTGTGGGTGGAGTTAGGTGTGTCAGTCACACTGCCGGCTGCACAGAAGCATTGAGGCCGGCTCTGATTCACAACAGAGTGGGAACATCACGAGGACAGCCCAGGAGTAGTCAGTAGGCCGTCATGTGTGTCCGTGACAGATGAATGGCCCCTCTATGTACAATCGTTTTGGAACAACTGGTTTCCTGCCTGTTTTGCTTTGCAGAGGAGAAATGTCCCGATGAAGCCCCCAGATGACATGAAGGTGAGTCCCACAGACATGTAAGTAAAGCCTGATGCTCAGGACCCAGCAGGGCAGGAATGGGGCGGTTGAGAGAGCGCCATGCATTGTCTTATTTAGATTAATTGTGTTTCTGATGAATAAGATTTAGTGGTAGTCTCACCCCCTCTCCCATTTTAATGGCTTGGGGTGAGGGGAGCAAAGCCACAGTACATACCTGTAAATCCACACTCAGGAATGCACAGGTGCTGGGCAGTGGGGGTCCTGTCCTGGGGTGCACACACCAGCAGGCAGGTGCCGTGTGCTTGTGGCTGGTGCATGTGTGCTGCCCACTTCTGAGTGGGACAGCACTAGGTCCTCAGGGCCTCACCGGCGCCCAGTGTAGATGGTCTTGAGGAAACCGTTCGTTGTGGTTCGCTAAGGTTCCCCCCTTCTGTGCCTTGGGAATCACTTGGCGTGCACGTGTTGACAGTGGGCTTTGAACACAGTCTTCGTGCTGGAGCAGAGACGCCAGGATGCTGGGCAGGGCGTGGGGCCTGGGCCGGAGCGCCAGCCTCCTGTTGTGCGAGGCTTGTCGAGTGACACACCAAAGGTGCCGTGGCATCTCCCCCTAGGGTGTGCTCCCAGTGCAGCTGGGTGTGGGAGGCAGCCAGGGTTCTGCAGACGCTGGCACAGAGGGCAAGCCCACATGTATCTTTGAAGAGCTGGGGCGCAAGCAGGCCACCTTGAGCTGGAAGGCCGGCCACACCCCTGCTCGGCCACCAGGGCCTCACGGACAGCTTTCAGAAGGGGCCCCTTGTCACCTGGACCATCCCTTGTGCAGTGGGCACAAGCGCCCGTTCCCCGCTGCTCTCCTGACCCCATGGTGGCCGTGGCCAGGCCCGTCCCTGCTCTCAGTCCGTTCTGTGCTTTGCTGTTTATGTGGGGCGTGCTGCCTGGCGTTGCCCCGTGACGAGGCGCCCACTTCTGTCCACTTTATTTCATCTTGCTCGTGCCCCTCATGGTGTCGGGCGATGTGCTTCTGTCACCACTCGGCTCCCAGACGTTTCTGCAATTATAGTGTTCGTTTCTGCCTTAGGCTGCACTTTTTAACGTCCTTGAAGGCACCAGCTTTAATGGTAACATCATCTTCAATGGTGTCTCAGAATGTAGACCTCCTCGCTTAGCCAGCAGAACTGGCCCATGGAAAGGTCAGGGCTGGACCGCTCTCCCGTAGGTGAGCCCTGGAGCGGTCCGGCTTGGGAATGCTCTGTGGGACACGTGCACGCATGTGCGTGCGTGAGTGCACGGCGGGCGGCGCTGCTCGGCTGTGGTCTCTTGGGAATCTGCACCGAGTGCCCGTTTACTGGTGGAATAAGGTGTGAGCAAACCAGTTTTCTTCGGGATCTTTGCGAGCTCCACATGGCCTCGTGCTTTAGGATCATCAGGTAAACCTGTAACAAACACCCCTGAAAGACACACTGTGGGGTGGGCCCCCCTGAGTGTGAGGAACGGGGGCCCTGGGTGGGGTGACTGACAGCTCTAAGCCTCAGTCTCTGGTTACGAGGTGGACGGTAATGGTGGGGTTGTTGTGGGGCCTGGCCCATCACCGGGCTCTAACCATGAGCTCAGCCCGATGTGCTGATGGCCGGAGTCGTTCCAGTACAGTTCCTATTGGGAGAGATCACTTAGCAAGCACAGACGGAAGTAGGTTTTATGAAAGCCAAGTGACAGAAGCAAATTGACAGATCACTGAGGCCAAGAAAGCCCCATGGCAGAGGGTTCACACCAAGGCCAAGACAACTCAATGGGCACGGGGCACATAGGCCTGGTGCCCGCTTGCTCGGTAGCAGCAGCCGCAGCGTCCTCCTGTCACTGGGTCCCTGTGAGTCGCTGGATGGAGGTGGACACCTTTTCCTACCGTGCAGTCAGCAGTCGGTGTGGGTCCTTGTCCAAGCCCCCGAGAGGGCCGAGGGTGGCGTGGGGGTGTGGAAAGGCATCTGCACAAGCTGGGCCCGCAGACTCAGCGTCTCTCATGTGGAGCTTTCGTTTCTTAACTATTTGGTGACGATATGGTGTCACTCCAGAGTGGCCCGTGGGAAAGGGCGCTGTCCTTTGACACTAAATTTTCTATAGTGACTTAGGATTTGGTACCCATGTGAAAGTATGTGATTTGGCAGAATTTCAAGGGCCTTTGAGTACTTAGATGGCCCCTGAAATGTAGCTTAAAATATAGCTACATGTGAACCCTAAAATCCTAGTATTCTGAGAGTCGCACACTGGATGGAAGATATGTGTGTGGTCGGGGAGAGGGTCTCGGAGAACGTTTCTGTACCATGCAGAGGCGGAATTCACACGGCCACTTCTGCAGAGGAGCACAGTGCGCCCTGAGGGCGGGAGAGCTGGGGGCCTGCAGCGCATGGTCCCAGGAGGCTCCCCGGGAGGAGGAGAGAGCGCTGTGGTTTGCAGGCTGCCACGTGACTTACCTGAAGTCCCTGAGAAATAGCCGTGGGCTCTCAGGTGCTGTGTACCTACCTGATGCAGTCTGCCCCACGCTCCCTCAGCACCTGCTGGTCCCCAGAGAGCCAGCAGCCCTGTGTCCGTCTGGCATTGCTGTTCTCGGCATGGCTCCTCGTGGACTCACCCCTGCTGGCCCCTGGGCCGTGGCACGGACTGGACATGGCTTGGCCTCGCCCACTCCTGGGGGTGGACACGAGTGCAGGCTTGTCCTCCCAGCGGTGCTCACTGCCCACTTAAGTGTCTCTCCTGTTTCCTGTTTCCTGTCCTCTGCAGGCTGGGGACTCCCTAGGAGATGGCGGCTCTGTGCTGGATTTTGTGTCAGTGAAGTCGTATTCTGACGTCTCTCTGGACATCTCCATGCTCGGCTCTCTGGGTAGGTTGTGCCAGGAACAGCCCCCCGAAGCTCTGTGGTCGGGTCGGCAGGCTCAGCGGGAAGGAGGTGCCCTGGTGCCTGATTTCCACCCCGCCTGAGGGGGGGTCCCCAGGGTCACAGGGCTGTCACATGCTGCTGTCCTGGCTCCCAGGAGGATGGCCCAGCCTGGTGGGGTGGCCATAGGTGGGGGCCCCGCTGTCCTCAGGGTCCCCTTCAGATGGCTGTGGGCCAGCTTCCTGGGTCACCTTCCTGACGCAGGCCACAGCTTTCGGGTCACTGGGTCCCTCCATCCTGTCACTTGCAGCTGCCGGCCTCAGCCTGCTGTCATGGCTTCAGTGCTCACGTGTGCCCCCCGGGATGTTCCCTTAGGGCCTGGTGGCCCCGTTGTGGAAAATGCCCCCACTCCTGCCCAGCATTTGGTGTTTGGAAGTCTGCTCTGCCGTCCCAGCTCCCTGTTGGCTGATGGTGCTTGTGGTGCCTCTTCTCCCTCTTTTCCTTTGGACATACCTGTGCTTTCACCTGGAGCAGCTCCCCCGGGGGACCTGTGGCCATGTCTGGAGATAGCTGTGGTTGTCACAATTGGGGTGCCGTGCCTCTGGCATCACGTGTGGAGGCTGGAGGTTCTGCTAAACCTCTTGAAATGCACAGAACAGCCCCCCACAGAGAGTGACTGGGCCCCAGTGTCAACAGCACCGAGGTTGAGAGTTCAAAGTAGGTTTTGTCGCTCCGTTTTAGGAGCATAAAGTACAACCTTGCTTTGTCATCCATCCTGACAGTCTCTGCCTTTCGGTTGCAGTGTTTTTAGACCATTTGTGTATAATGCAGTTACCGGTGTGACTGGACTCATGTCTGCCATCTTGCTGTTGGTTTTCTATTTTCCCAGTATTCGGGGATCCCCAAGGCTACCCCAGGTTTGCTGATTCCCTAGGACTCAGCATATGGTTGTTCTCATGACTGTGGTTTATTACAGAGAAAGGACACTGACCACACCCCACAAAGGAAAGGCACCTGGGGAGTGTCGAGACCAGGTGCCGTGTCCACAGCCCCCTCTCCGTGTGTCCCAGCAGCGGTGTGACAGCGTAGCCCCTCTGCTCGGCACACGCACGTGCCAGGCTCCCAGAAGGAAAGCAGGCGTTCAGCTTAAACCCTGTGACCGAACAGGCCGCTGAGGCACAGTGAGCCCTCCTGTCATTCGGGTGGTGGGAGCCCTCCCGAAACCCACAGCCACTGGCCAAGGGCAGCCCGGTCTTCGGAAGCGAGCGGTCTCGAGTGCTCCGGTGACACTCTTTCGCACACGGCTCCTTTTTCCCTCGGGCTGTGTCAGGATTTCTGCTTATTGCTCGTTGTCGGGAGTTTGGTCCTAGCATGCCTGGTTAGCTTTTCTTTAGGTTATTCTTCCTGCGTTATGTGCAGCTTCTTGGTCCCAGGGATTTATAGGTTTTATCAAATATGGGAAGTTTGGCTGTGTCCCAGTTCTGCCCATCTGTTGTTGAGTCTCTGCTGCGTTTGGAGCCATCTTGCACTGTGACCTCAAGGGCGCTGGGGTCATCCCGGCCGTGCTGACCTGCCATTGACCTCCCTGGGGTTTCCGTTTTTATCCAGCTCGTTCTGCCTTTCCAACATCATCGTCCCCTTCTCGCCTCATGGTCACGGTTCCTGTTCCTTCTTTAACACGTGGAGCAGGTTCCCAATCGCTGTTTGAACGCCCCGTCTGCTCGTCCCACATCTCTTTATGGTGTTCCTCCCTGGTGGGGCTGTGACGTCCTGCTCTGTCGCCTGCCTGGTGGTGGTTTACCGGAGGTCAGGCTCTGCACTTACGCTGGTGGGTGCTAGACTTGGTCGCCCGCCTGTGGACCGTGGTGGACCTTGTCGGACAGCCTCTTGGGCAACCTGGCGCTGTCGGACCCTGTCCAGGGTTTGCTCTGACACATTCTTAGGGCAGGCACAGAACTGCATTTAGTGTAGGCCACACCCTTCCACATGCTTGGGACGCAGATTGTCACAGCGTGTGTGAGCTGTTGACCTCCCTGGCAGGGCACAGGGCCATGCGTGGCCTCACCTCGCCAGCCGGGCAGCCCTTCCTCACCTGCTCACTGCCCGCCCTGGCCGTGGCCTGTGCCCGGTCCTGGTGTCTGCAAGCCTCTTGTTCCCCCCCCCCCCCCCCCCCGTCCTGCTTCTGAGTCGCTGCGACGGGAGGGCAAGGCCTGTGCGTGCGGTGGCTCCTTCACACCGAGGTGGCGCCTGGTTCCTGGCTGGCACGCCAGCCCTCCCGGCGGCCTCCTCCCCGCCAGCACGCTCCCAGCACCTCCCCGCCCTGCGAGCTGCTCGTGCTCCTCAGGCCTCACCTCTGAGGGGTCGTCCTGAGTGCGTGGCCACGAGGGAACCGCGGAGCACACCGCAGGTGCCGCACGCGGTGCTCTCCCGGCCGCCCGGTGAACTGGGCTGATGTCTGTCATCCTGCGTTTGGCAGGGAAAGTGAAGAAGGAACTGGACCATGACGACGGCCACCTGCACTTGGATGAGACGACGAAGCTCCTACAGGACCTGCACGAGGCGCAGGCGGAGCGCGGGGGCTCCCGGCCATCGTCCAACCTCAGCTCCCTGTCCAACGCCTCGGACAGGGACCAGCACCACCTGGGTAAGGCGGCCCCGCCGGGCCCCGGGGCTGACGCTGCCACACCAGGCTGGAGACCCCGGGGCCCGCGCTCGCGAGGCGGCTGCACTGCGGCGACGCGTGGGAGTGGAATTTAGTTAGTGCGAGCAGTTTGTGGCCTTGGCCGTAAGATCCCGGCAGTCCACATGTCAGGAGGAGTCCCAGGTGGCCGCGTCCTGAGGCCCTTGGTCGGGGACAGATAAGGAGGCCAAGGACCCTGACAGCCACGTGGAGTTAGACCTTGGAAATGTGTGTTTCTTTCTAGTGTTCCTCTTTTTAGCCCTAAAACAGTGTGTTGACAAGTGAGTTCCTCCAGGACCCTTAATTGGGGACAGCACATGACCTTCCTTGGCCAGGGGACGCCGTGTTTAATAAGTGGCTGTGTTGGCCCTTCAGTACCCCACCAGGATGTCACAGCTCCGCCAGGAAGGGGACCAAACATTTGCCTTGTGGCTCCTTGAATCTGCTGTGTTGTGTCCACACTACAGTTTTAGTTCCCAGATACAAATACTGAATGACTCAGAGAATAAATCTTGACATTTGAGGTGTAGGGGTAACAGCTACAGAGGTTTGACGAAAGCTCTGAATCAGGACCAGTATTTTCAGTCCCGTTAACCTTGTGATAAACGGCACACGAAGTAGGTTCCTCAGAGAGATGATGGGTTGGCCAGTACTCTGGGAGAGATGGGGGGCGGCCCCACCCTGGGAGAGATGGGGGGTGGCCCCACCCTGGGAGAGATGGGGGGCGGCCCGAACCCTAGGAGCCATGGCTCTGGCTGAGTTCTGGGCTTTGCTGACAGCAGAGACAGACACGCAGACGTGCGACTTCGGCCATAGGTGCAGACCTGTTGAAATGTCCCGTCTTCCCCACTCTTGCAGGAAGCCCTTCTCGCCTCAGTGTCGGTGAGCAGCCAGAGGTGACCCGTGACCCATACGAGTTCCTTCAGTCTCCAGAACCTGCAGCCTCCACAAAGAGCTAGCCTTGTCGATAGTCTTGGATTGCTTTTTTATTATTATTTTCTAAGTTTTCATTTGCATGTACAGAGTGCTTGTCATGAGACAGACTTTCGTGTTGTCCCCTTGGGCGTGCAAGAAGCAACCGGGGAGGTGAATTGTCTTTGATATCATGTCGGCCGCACTGCAGATGGCCATGAACCCTGAATCATGGAAATCCTACATAAAGGGGGTGTGACCACATTCTGTGAGGCTGGCGTGGTCTGCCTGAGCCTCGCGGTGTCGGTACAGCCCTTCCCAGTGGCCGGTGTGGAGGACACACACCTGTCCTCCACGAGTGCCCCGGGGGAAGCAGATGAGGGAGCCTTGGGTTGGGGGTCCTGCATGTTCTTTGCTCCCGGCGCCCCACATCCCCACATTTCTGAGGCAAGTCACTGTGGGGGCCACACGGGAGCCTGTGGGGGCTGGCCGTGCCCCGTCCTGGCTCCGGACAGGCTGGGAGTTGAGGGCTAGTTCACATGCCTGAGGAAGGGGTACTTCTGCTGGGAGACTTGGAGGTCAGCTGCCCCACCAGTTACGGTCAAGTCTTACGTGTCCGTAACACATTTTCTGTTCTGGATGTATTTACTGGATTCCTGTTTATATTTGTACACTATAAATAAACCTTAATAAACAGATACACAAAGACTATAAGTGCATAGAATTACTTACAACACTGCTAGGCGTCCACTTTTGAGTGACTTTTCAGTAAAAACCTTTGTCACACGAGGTTGACAGTGTCTCTTCCTGGTCACTGTCTTGTGCCATCCAGTCCAGTTTTGGCACCCAACGCATGCAACTTTCTGCTCTGTTCTCTCATTGTGAAAATATAAAGTCAGAGAATCCGTTATATCCCAGGGTGGGTCAGGCCTGGGGGAGAACGTGTGACCGGGAGGCAGTGGGCAGTGTGATGTGCCTGGGCCCACGAGCACCGCTGGTCAGGGCCCTGCCGGCCACTGCCTGCCTGGGCCCGAAGGGCTGGCCGAAGCCCCGTCTTGGATAGATCAGGGTCCTCCGCAGACGTCTCGTGAAAGGAAACGTCACAGATGAAGCGTCCAGAAGCAGCTGTGGCTGGTGGACGCGGGAAAGGAATATATTAACGGCTTCAGCAAAGGAGTGCAAACCCCACAGCTGGCCGAGAGCTGTCCCCAGCCCTGCAGCTAGTCCTCTGCTGGCCTCAGCACCACTGAGTCCCCTCTGCTCTGCAGCCTCGCCCTAGCCCCTCATCACTGTGTTGACACCCAACTTCGGCGAGGCTGGGGGAGGCAGAATCTGGGTCTCCAGCCTGGGGTAGGAGATGGCTGTGCCTCCACCAGGACTCAGGTGGGGGTCCCTGAACATGGGATGCAGGGCAGATGCGGATCCGGGGCCTTTGCCCCTCCCTGGCCCGAGTTCACGTCAGTGCCAGTGTGACAGCAGGCAGAGTGCACTGTAGCACTCCCAGGGCCCCAGACCTCCCCAAAGGGGGTGGTCTCCGCCTCCCAGAACATGGGCCCACAGCCTTCCACTCAGAAAGCTCCAGGCGCACAGGGAAGGCAGCAACAGGACCGGAGGAAGCGGACGCAAGGCCCTCGTGTTCCGTGGAATCTTGTAGGTAAAATTCACAGGACAAAAAACGAACCATTACCTGTTTTAAATATGCGGCTCAGGCATTGGTATACTCATGGTGCTGTGCCTCCACCATCAGTCCAGACACGTGCATATGCATGTCCTGCCCGTGCCCAGCCTGCCCCACCCCGCACCCCCTCCCTCTGCAGTGAGGGGGCACCACCAGGACCTCAGATGTGTGCACAGCAGGACTGCAGGCAGGTGACGGCGCTACTTCCGGCAGCACGAAGTCATGGATGGCCTGAGTTGCAGGCGTGTTGGTCGGTCACAGACAATGGGGTGTCGTCCATTCCACACATCAGTGTGGGCAGGGGCGTCCGGTTAGCTCACGTGGTTAGAGCGCAGGCTCATAACACCAAGGTTGCTGGTTCAATCCCCACATGGGCCAAGGAGCTGCGCCCTCCACAACTAGATTGAAACAACTACTTGACTTAGAGCTGATGGGTCCTGGAAAAAAACACTATTTTCCAATTTAAAAAATTTTAAAATCAGGGCCGGCCGAGTGGCGCAATGGTTAAGAACTGGCTTGGGATGCCAGAGGGCCCCGGTTC